CCATGAGGAGAGGCTGAGGGAGCTGGGGGTGTTCAGCCTGGAGAAGAGGAGGCTCAGGGGAGACCTTAGCACCCTCTGCAACTCCCTGCCAGGAGGTTGGAGTCAGGTGGGGGTTGGTCTCCTCTCCCAGGACAAGAGGGCACAGACTCAAGCTCTGCCAGGGGAGGGTTAGGTTGGATATTAGGAAGAGATTTTTTTCAGAGAGAGTGCTCAGGCATTGGAATGTGCTGCCCAGGGAGGTGGTGGATTCACCATCCCTGGAGGTTTTTAGGCTGAGACTGGATGTGGCACTTAGTGCCATGGTCTGGTAACCACAGTAGGATTGGACTTGGTGATCTTTGAGGTCTTTTCCAATCTTGTTGATTCTATGATAACCAGAGGGTCAGAATCATTTGGTTTGTGAAGAGGTTCCCCCACTTACATCATGAGCTTCTGATCATCAGCAACAGATCCAAACAGGGATTCATGGAGCAGGTGCCAAGATACATCTTCCACCACTGCTGTATGTCCTGTGAAGATGGTCTTTGCATCCACCACTTTGCCCTCCTTTGGAACAGCACTGATGTCCCACAGGCAAATGGTCTTTAAAACAACAAAAACATAAGGAATTACATCTTTAGACACTCCCTTTCCTTTCCCCTCAAAAGGAAGAACATCTTTGGCTTTCCCAAGGGATACAGAATGCCCCAGCTGTGTTTAATACTCACATGATCATCAGAAGCACTAAGCAAGTGCCCACTGAGGTTTGGGTTCCAGGACAATCCATAACCTTCCTTCTGGTGCCCACGGAGACGCAGGTCAGGGTTACACTCTCCAGAGGGATCTGTAAGGAGACAGGTGTGAAACCTCCAGTGCTTGGTGTCATTTCCAGCACAGCCTGGAATTCCTGGCAGTACATTTTACTGTGTTCACTACACTTTGCTTTGCCATTTTCAGCAGCCCAGGAGCCTGAGTCACCTGCTCTGGATGGATGGAGGAACAGCAGCTCATCTGTTTCTGCTCAGAAAACTTCTCCAATATATGGGATACATTTCTCTCCTCATTCCCAACCGCACTTCTAAAGTGAGAAAGGCACTTCTGATCCTCCACACAAGTGGCAAAACTTGTTACTTTATACAGTCTTGATGAGCTCATAGGTAAATGACTTCATACCTTCAGAACTTATCAGGGGAACAGCTCAGCTACCCAACAAACACACCAGAGTTCCCCAAAACACCTTCCACCCCCCAAACACTGAGTGAGGTGACAAAACAAGCAGTGAAAGCACATGAGTTATAAGATTTACCTCTCCATGGATACACTGGAGACATCTGGATACAAGTGTCCAAGCTTTACACACCTCTTACACTAGAGACTTCCCCTAAAATCCCAACTGATACAGAATCCACATGATTTTTGCACCTCCTTTTCACCCCATCAGCCTCTCCTGGCTGCTCTCTGCAGGACACACCTGGTTTGGAAGGATGTTTGGTGTAGTCAAAGACAAGGACATCACTGGATGGAGTCTTGGTGGCAATGATACAAGGGTTCTGGGGCATGTACCGTGCTCTGTTCACCTCTCCCTCGTGGTTGATCTTGATTTCAATCTCAATTTTTCCACTAACTGATCCAAAGCCTCCAAATTCTAGAAGTAGAAGAATTCAAGAGTTGTGAGTAATAAAATAACTTCAGATCGAGACACAAAGATTCAGGCTCAGTTCCTGCTACTGCCAAGGACTCACTGCAGAATAGACAAAGTGAACACAAATTGGGCTTGAAATCAACTTGCTAAAGCTCCTTTATCTTCACACAGAAAGTCACAGTAACTTAGCATCTCACAGAATTGTACCATTCTGGCTAAAATAAGGATTTTTGACATGCCTGACTCGTGGCAGTGCTGACAAAGGTGACAGAAAGCATCAAATTCAAGGCTGATACACTGAATAAAACACACTCTTTAGCCCTGAGGGGTTGGCACAGCTGTCAGCAGCAGGACTCAAGACAAGTGAGGAATGCTTGCAGAGTTACACTGCTCTAAAATATTCTTTCACCTGAGCAACTTTCTCACTGGAAGAATTTATTTCAGGCAAAAATGACAATAAAAACACCACTCAGCAACACTGTGTGGGATTCAATGCCAATTTCTGTTGGGGAATAGGGAGGGATGAGGTTTCCCCACAGAAATATTTTTGCAATAAGCCTCCCACCTTCAGTGCTAGATCAATAGGACATTACAAACACACAAAAAAAAGGGGTTTTGCCTGTTAAAGGGAAAATTTTGTCTCTTAATCTCCCTATTAAGGAGAAACCACTTAGAAATACAAGGAGTTTTGCCTGTTAAAGGGAAAATTTTGTCTCTTCATCTCCCTATTAAGGAAAAACCACTCAGAAATATATTAATAGTCAGAATAAATTGATCAGTTTAGAAGCAAACCCTGAAACTTTGCTGCCTGAACTTTGAGGAGAGATTTTTCTGTTGGGAAGGGAAATCAGGTCCAAACCCAGCTCTAGGCTCTCACCTCCTTTCTCACTGTCATAGTGTGAAGCATCAAACTGCGCATCGTCGTTGGGCAGTTGCACACTGGCTATCACCAGGTGGTTCTGCTCATCAGAGGTGTGTGTGCCCAGGACTAACCTGTGGATGCTGAAATCTTTGCCTTCAGGTCTGCAAGGCAAGAGAAACCAGAGAGGAGTCATAAATATTGGGCTGAGTTCAAGTTGAGGTGATTTTTTTGGTTTTTTTTTTTTTATGGCACTGATAATAAGCTGTCAATTGATTGCTGCTTCCTGTTCCAATTGCAAAGTCACTTCCTGCAGAGGAAATCACTTACCACGGCTCAGGATCTCATGCAAAGGGACTTGGGACAAGGGCCAGGAGGGACAGGACACAGGAAATGGATTCCCACTGCCAGAGGGCAAGGACAGTTGGGATATTAGGAGGAAATTCATCCCTAGGAGGTGCTGAGGCACTGGAATGGATTTCCCAGAGCAGCTGTGGCTGCTCCATCCCTGGGAGTGTTCCAGGCCAGGTTGGATGGGGCTTGGAGCAACCTGAGCTGGGGGAAGGTGTCCCTGGGTGGAACTGGATGAGCTTTAGGTTTTCTTCCAACCCCAAACCATTCCATGATTCTGTGATCTCAACCTAAACTCTCTCAGCACAAGAGAGCACCATTCCCCTTCCCCTAAGAGGCTTTAGCAGCAACTTGAGCACAGCTCTGAGGGGAAAGAACATCCACCATGAGCAGAACACGGTTATGGAAGCTTAGGACAAAATGATGGTTGTACCATGAGTTATTCCACAGAAATTTTATCTAATTCTACTTTTGACTGGGTTTTTTTTTGCTAATTAAAGAGGAGGATGAAGCTGGAAACGTGGAAATCAAATGGGTTAAAATACCTTCTCAATAACAGAAGGTATTTTCCCAAACTAAAAGCTCTGTGCTCTGGTGTGTGACAGTCCCCAATTCGCTGTTGGGTGATTCAGACAGAAAGGAATCACGTCCTGCCTCAGTTTAACAAAATCTGATCCTGGATTTACTATTTATTCTGCTTGTAAAAGAAAGCTAAAGGGTCAGTTTACCTCGTGACATCAGGAAGCCACTGGGCAGTGAGGCTGGGCCACTCCAGGGCATGGGTCATCACCAGATCATAGAGGAAGGGAGTGTTCTTCTTCCATATCTTATACTCCTCATTGATCACACGTTCCTCCACTGCATCATCAAAGGCTGCTGAAGTGGTTGGAAAAGAAACACAGACAACTAATTACCCTTTCTGAATTCATTTACAGGCAATGGATTGACTACATCACACCCTGTTTGCTGCCAGACTGTTCTGCTGGTTACAGGATTAAAATCCCCTTTGCATGTTTTAATCTTTGTTTCTGAACACAAAGCTCAGAAATAATAGGAATAATGTGAATATTATTAACTGCATCAAATTTCATCCCTGGGAATCTTCCAGGCCAGGTTGGATGGGGCTTGGAGCAACCTGGGCTAGTGGAAAGTGTCTCTGCCCATGGCAGGGGGTGGAACTGGATGAGCTTTAAGGTCCTTCCAACCCAAACCATTCTGGGATGATTCTGAGGATGTTGTTAGAAGCAGCACAACAAAACTCTGACTCTCAGGGCACAGAGTACCACAGAGACAACCCCCAGCCTTGTGTTTCAATGCAGGAGATCAGGCACTGCTGCTAACCAGACAGGTCTAGGTGCAGCCTGGAACTACTAGTTCCCAAAATTCCAGTTTTCCAAGGCTCCTTGTTGCTCTCACATACTTCCTCTGCCCATCTGCCACCAGCCCTTGCTGCAGGAAGAGGAAAGTGGGCAGACCTGGGGGGGTTCATCCATGGAATGGGAACTTCCCAGTGGAACTGACAGACAGGGACATGAGACAGGGACACCCTCACGGAAACAGGGGCTCACCCAGGGAAAAGGGAGGAATCATAGGATGTTAAGGGGTTGGATAATCCAGTGCCAACCCCTGCCCTGGGCAGGGACACCTCCCACCAGAGCAGGTTGCTCAAGGCTTTATCCAACCTGACTTTGAACACTGTCAGGGTTGGGGCAGCCACAGCCTCCCTGGGCAATGGGAATACCCCAGGGGAACAGGAGCTCAGCCACGTATTGGGAACACCCCCGTGGGATGGGAACAGCCCCGTGGGATGGGAACACTCCCATAGAACGTGGCTGTGACCGGAGACACCACTTGGTCCATCCCTCACCGGGCACAGCCCTCCCAGTTACCTGCCCAGCAGGGAGGGCACAGACCCTCCACGGGCTGCCCGGGCAGGCACCGGGGCCAGGCCCGGGGGGAGCTGAGGATGCTCCATGAGCCATTCCCGGTGGGATCTGAGAATGCTCCATGAGCCATACCCGGGGGCAGCCGAGTATGCTCTATAGGCCATTCCCGGTGGGATCTACAAAGGCTCCACGGGCCATTCCCACCGGGATCTTTGGAAGCTCCATGAGCCATTCCCGGTGGGATCCCATGGACCATTCCCGGCGGGATCTACGGAGCCTCCATGGGCCATTCCCGGTGGGATCATTGGAAGCTCCGTGGGCCATTCCCGGTGGGATCCCATGAGCCATTCCCGGTGGGCTCTGTGAAGGCTCCACGACCCATTCCCACCGGACTCCGCGGAGTCTCCATGTGCCCTTCCCGGCGCTGGCTGAGCTCCCCGCGCGGCCCCCGCGGCCATGTC